CCTATAGAATCTCCATACTAGGAGGACAATTTCTTTGAGGATCTTCATCATGAGATCAGACATTTCCAGGCCCAGGGCAATGTCATGCTGATCGGACATCTAAACGCCAGAACTGCAACACCTGGCCTGACACTAAACCAAACGGACGTTAAATTTCTCCTCTACGCAGATGACCTTGTGCTGCTGTCGCCCACTGAAAAGGGGCTACAGCAGCACCTGGATCTGCTAGAGCAGTACTGTCAGAACTGGGCCCTGACAGTCAACCCAAACAAATCTAAAGTCATGATCTTCCAAAAGAAAGCCGGATCTCAGGAAAGCAGATATGTGTTCAGTCTAGGAGACGCCGCCCTGGATCAAACGCTTTCCTATGATTACCTGGGACTAAAGATCAGTGCCTCAGGAGGCTTCGGTCTGGCTGTGAATGCACTGAAAGAAAAGGCCTGCAGAGCCTCGACTCAATCAGGAAACAGTTCCATAAGATTAACATCCCAATCAGAATCTGGACAAAGATCTTCGACAGTGTAGTCCTGCCCACTGCGCTGTACGGTAGTGAAGTCTGGGGTCCACTCAGTCGTGACTACACTAGATGGGACAAGCATCCCACTGAAGCAGAACGATTTTAAACGTCCAAAGAAAAACACCAGCGAATGCCTGCAGGGCTGAATTAGCCGATTCCCTCTAATCACGAACACTGAAAAAAGAACACTGAGATTTTGGATGCACCTTAAATCGAGTCCCAAAACAACACTGCAGTTTCAGGCACTCCAATACCAAGAGCTGAACCCTGAAAAGAGTCCCCTGTGTCAGCTGGTACAGAGACTGACCACCTCACTGACCCCCAACAACCCAAACTCTCTGACCAGCACTGCTTCCCAAACACCAATCAGAGTAAACCAAATTATTAAACAAAGTAAAAATACCTACCTGGAACACTGGAAACACCAAATTCACTCACAAAACAGACTGAACTGCTTTCTGACCCTAAAACAGGAAAACAGATCAGCTGAATATCTTGTTACTGTCCAAGATATGAAGCAGAGATGGATCCTCACCAAATACAGACTCAGTGACCACAGCCTGGCCATCGAGAGAGGCAGGTTTAAAAAGTCCTGGCTAGCGAGAGAGGAGAGAGTGTGTGGTCACTGCAGGACAGGTGAGCTAGAGACAGAGGTGCACTTCCTACTGAACTGCCCAAAATATGAATCTATTAGAAATAAATATTTTAATCAATTTGAAAAACAGATAAAGAACTTCGGGACGCTGGGAGATGAAGATAAATTAGTAATTATACTAGGAGAGGGTCCAGCAGCGTCCACTGCAGCCAGATATGTGTACGAGTGCCATACACTCAGGGACAGTGAGTGACCATCACACCACAGCCTTTACTCACAGTTATATATGTACATATGTAATATAGATGTCCTTTTTTTATATATATTTTTCCCTTCTTAATCATTATTATTAATTGATGATTAACATTTTCTCCTCTTAATTATCACATATTAATATATATATATATATATCAAATATTTGTAATTAACTTTTGATATGTAGATCATTTTTGTTATGTTTTGACAATACAAATGTACATTTGTCATGTCAATAAAGCGAACTTGAACTTGACTGAGAGAGAGAGAGAGAGAGAGAGAGGAAGAGAGAGGTGCACTTCCTACTGAACTGCCCAAAATATGATTCTATTAGAAATAAATATTTTAACCAATTTGAAAAACAGATAAAGAACTTCAGGACGTTGGGAGATAAAGATAAATTAGCGATTATATTAGGAGAGGGTCCAGCAGTGTCCACTGCAGCTAGATATGTGTACGAGTGCCATACACTCAGGGACAGTGAGTGACCACCACACCACAGCCTTTACTCACAGTTATATATGTACATATGTAATATAGATGTCCTTTATATATATATATATTTTTTTTCCCTACATTTGATTGTTAACATTTTCTTTTCTCTTCTCTATTATAAACTACACACATATTCAGTAGGTTTTGTTTTATTATTACATGTACTTTTATATTATTAATTCATGATTAACACTTTCTGTTCTTAATTATTACATTATCATATATTAATCTTGGTTTATATTTTGTATTATTATTATTATTAATTTTTTAAAAATATTTTTCTATTCTATTATATTTTTTAATATATAGATCATTTTTGTTGTGCTTTGACAATACAAATGTACGTTTGTCATGTCAATAAAGCAAATTTGAACTTGAACTTGAACTTGGGAGTGAGAGAGAGAGAGAGAGGGATAGAGAGGGAGAGTGAGAGAGAGAGAGAGAGAGAGAGGGAGAGTGAGAGAGAGAGAGAGAGGGATAGAGAGGGAGAGTGAGAGAGAGAGAGACAGAGAGAGGGAGAGTGAGAGAGAGAGAGAGAGGGATAGAGAGGGAGAGTGAGAGAGAGAGAGTGAGAGAGAGAGAGAGAGAGGGAGAGAGAGGGAGAGAGCGAGTGAGAGAGAGACAGAGAGAGGGAGAGTGAGAGAGAGAGAGAGGGAGAGAGAGACAGAGAGAGGGAGAGAGAGGGAGAGAGCGAGTGAGAGAGAGACAGAGAGAGAGAGAGGGAGAGAGAGAGAGAGGGAGGTCAGCCGTGTCTCTGACTCTCCACCGTCTCTCTGATGGAAGCTCCTCTGAACTCAGTGTTAACGTTAGTGAGTCTCCAGAGCTTCGCTGAGCCGCTTTCTCACAGCGCGGCTGCTCAGGGCTTTAATGAGCTCCAGCTGGACTGAAGCTCTGGGAACTGACCGTCTACAGCAGCGCTGCTCCACGGGACGTGCCGCCGGGGACACCTAGTGGCCAAAAGTGGTCACTTCCTCTCTCACAATGTACAGAACTTACAGTTAAACACCCCACAATTCTCCACCAAACACAGCTGCGGTCAGTGATGACCAGTAGAACATCCTGACCTTCAGTCATTAACGTTCCCTCAACGTTCACAGTCAAATCACACAAAACGAGTCACGTCTACTCCAGATATCATTATAATAACTGTGTCCTGCAGCTTTTTATGGTCTGTAATAACTGCAGATACAGCAGAGATCAGAGTGAAAAAGTTTTAAGAAATTTGCTCAACTTAATAATATTTATATTAATCGTTATTGATCCAATTTAGAAGCCAATACTCTAATAATGTCCCAATAATGTAATAATCTTAAAAATGTAATAAAAATTGTACTTAATTGGTGAAAAATGTGATACCCAATAATGTAATATTGTCTTAAATCATAATGTAATAATACTTTCAATAATAGTTTATTACGCTATTAGAAATGTAATATATTTGTAAGTTACTGTGTTTTCAAAATGGATGATGTCATATTTTAAGGCAGTTATTAAAGTTCTCCTGCAGAACTTCAGCGCTGAGCACTCAGCCCAGCCTGGACGGGGAGGATCGTCACTGAGTCTCGACCTTCTTCATTCTGCTCTCAGAAGGAGCTTCTACTGTAGAACTGCTGTACCTCTCAGAGTCTGAACCCACGCAGCCTCATAAACAGAGCACAGAAATTATATTTATGGTAGAAAATCAGGAAATCAGTCAAATCTGACCAGAACACAGCCGACAGTGAGGCCTTCTGCTAAAATATTACACCATCAGTAAAATCTCATATCATCAGTTTAGACACTGTATTACACTATCGGGCGATGTGGTGGGGGGCAATATGAGGATTTTTATTGTTATTGTAATAAATTATGTCACAGTACGCTTTTCTGAGCGTGTTGTGGATCGTCAGTACTTAAAGAGACTGACTGGCTGTTTCATTACAGAGAGAATAATTAGTCCCGTATATTATAATAGTTATGTATGAGGCACTACAGGTTCTATTTTGTCGGTTCCAAATTATTAAATTTCAGAGAAACTAAATATACTGCTTATTGTTACTTTTATTACATTTATAAGCAAGTTCAGTGTAAAATCTGGCTACAGTTCTGGCTGATATGACATTACTGGGAAATTATGACGTTATTGGGCTGAACGTTTTTATCTATATGAGGGAAATGTGTCATTTGTCAGTGTGACCAGCAGAGCAGCACCCCCTGGTGGCCATGATGAGTTAAGAGTCCCGTCCAAGAGCCCAACCAGGAGGTTTAGGCTCAGTCTGTCACTAACTGGCTGAAGTTTATCTTTTTAAAACTATTTCAGCAGAATATCATAATTTTGAGATGCCGAGTTTAAAGTGCAGAATGTTTCGCTTTAATTTAAGGGAATTTAATCTGTATAAGAATCAACGTTTCTCAGTGACCAACAGCAAACACTCCATAATAAAACTGCACTTCAGCTGACAATAATTACTCTGACTGTTTATGGACCTTTAAAGCGTTCATTATGACTCATATAGTTCATCATATACATAGAAATGGAAATGCTCTTAAAGGGATACTCCAGTGATTTTTCAAATTCTCTTCCTATTTAAATGGTTAAGATGTAATCAGAGTGGTTCAGAGCGGTTTGGTGTGAAACGCTCCGTTCTAGATAAACTTACCGAGTCAGAACTGTTCACAGTGGTGGTGATAGGAACCAGACGTCCACCTCTAAAAGCTCCCTCACAGAAAGTTCCTACATGAAATGGTTATGAATTCACTGCCTGATGACTGAGACACTGTTTTATGATCGTTTGGAGAAAAACTCCATTCATGGTGGAGGGATACATGCAGGGCGCTGTGAGGCAAAATAGTCCCCAAAGAAAACTTATTATTTCAGATTTTCCACTATTTTCCATCATCAACATTCCATATAAACTCAGAAGACTCGTGTAGGTTCACTGGTGGTTCTGGATAGTAAATAAAATGTCTATATTTGTGTTGTAGTCATGGCGACCCCTGGTTCCTATCACCACCACTGTGAAGACATCTGAACCATTTCACACCAAACCACTCTGAATTTTGGAAAATGGGTGGAATTTCCCTTTACAGATGAACATTCAGCACTTTCACTGTTTCACTTTAAATGCAGTTCAGACACAAAACAACAAAGCATCACTGTTCAATTCATAAACCATTTATACTGTTATTGTACAATTAATTATTAAGGCATAAAGTTATATATGATCTATAAAAAATCTGATATACTTTAATAATATTTGATTATGTACATTATATTAGTAAATTACTGGCACTGATACAACCTGTGATCACATGTGCAAATTAATTGTCAGTATAAACTGTTTATATTACGGTGTTTTAAGATTTTTAACTGGTTCATTGTAGCTACTATTCCATTACGCTAACAGTGTTACTAATGGTGAGCGTTACTGTGGAGATGATGCATCATTATATATTATTACATAAAAATCAACGGAAAAATAATACAAAATAAAAACATTTCAGTGTTTCATATGAGATAAAGCGCACAACATTCAAATGGTCTTGTACAGTAGCTTATGCAAAAAATAAACAGGATTTCTGGATGAAGTGACATATTTACATATTATACTGCATTTATACTAATATATATACACATTATACACAGCTGAAAAGCATTTATAAAACACTATAAATACTTTATAAAAATAAAGCTCCACAGGGATACGGTGGATCTCTTCATCCTTCATTCCACACGGTCTCTAACGGCGACTGTACACAGCATCTGCACACAGAATAAACACATACATGTAGTAAATCAGCAAAATACATACTTTTATCCCCAAATCACACAGTCTGAAAGGTCATCATGTGGACGTTCAACTTCACTGAGACTAAATTAAGCTGCTCCAAACATGTTAACAGCAGACAGAGCAGCGTTATGCTAATAAAGGGACTCATTTAACGGAACTAACGCTGAACTAAAGCTGCTCACTAAGTCCACCTCCCTGTATCTACACTCACTGTCCACTGTATCAGCTCCACTGACCGTATAGTTTCACTCTGTAGTTCTACAGTTACAGACTGTAGTCCATCTGTTTCTCTGATACTTTGTTACCCTGTTCTTCAGTGGTCAGGACCCCCACGGACCCTCACAGAGCAGGTACTATTTGGGTGGTGGATCATTCTCAGCACTGCAGTGACACTGATGTGGTGGTGGTGTGTTGGTGTGTGCGAGTGGATCAGACACAGCAGCGCTGCTGAATTTGTGTCGTCTGATCTCTGCGTTACTGAAGGAGCTCAGAGTTCAGCCAATTATAGAGTTATAGAAGGTTATAATCAGATCTCATCAGTGATCACTCAGATTACAGCAGCTCCCCAGACTGAACTAATCCGGCTCCAACAGAGCTTTAATGAGTCACTCTTCAGTTTATATTCCCTAATTCTGTACTGCAGATGCCATTTACCAGCACAGCCAGCTTTGCCTCATACACACATCTCAGAGCTGTACTGTGTGTTTTTAATGATTTAATTTGGCTGCAAACGGCAACATAACCATCTCCACTGAAGCCCAATATAACAGTGCAGGACCACCACTGCGCCCACCTGCTCAGTGATGACAACAGCGCCAACAGCTCTGATTATGTATGTGACCATGAGAATAGCAGCTAAGTCAATAAGAATGAAGGAGAGAGTGAGAGAGAGAGACAGACAGACAGAGAGTGAGAGAGAGAGAGAGAGTGAGAGAGAGAGAGAGAGAGTGAGTGAGAGAGAGAGAGAGACAGACAGACAGAGAGAGTGAGAGAGAGAGAGAGAGAGAGAGAGAGAGAGAGAGAGAGAGAGAGAGAGAGTGAGAGAGAGACAGACAGACAGAGAGAGTGAGAGAGAGAGATTGAGAGAGAGAGAGAGAGAATGAGTGAGAGTGAGAGTGAGAGAGAGAGAGAGAGAGAGAGAGAGAGAGAGAGAGAGAGAGAGAAAGAGAAAGAGTGGCCGCTGCTCCTCAATATCCTCCTGCGAATTCCCAGTCTGAAGGTCAGATGTTTCGGCCAGTGTCAGCTGTGCTTTGTGCTGACTAATCCTGCCCACCTGACTCAGAGCTGCTCATGACTGACCGTAACGGAGGACATGCTGACCTCGGTGGTAATCTGAAGACACGTTCTCGTAGAGGGGATACAGAGGGTTCTCCTGCTCATTACGCAACTTTCGTGCACGAAGCACATCTCGAACACACTGGTGCAGGTAGGTGTACTGACTCTAGAACACAAACATAAACAAACAGGCAGATAAAGAACCTCAGCTTTATTACATACAGTAAACAACACGATCAAATGGTTCTCCTAATCACTATTCCCTACAACATAACACTATAGAACACTACTATAGTGAACAGAAATGGACCCTAATCACTATTCCCTTCATCGGGGTAATATCTAGAACACTATTAGAATGAACAAAAATAACCACTAATCATAGTGCATTATGGGTATAATGCTAGTGTACATAGTTTGCATTCTACCTATCGCTGTGCACTGCAGGATCGTGAGAGGGCACTGTTTACAGTGTTTATGTCAGTACATACGTAATGATAATGTACAGTAATGAGTGTCCCAAATCCTTTACTACCATCCCTGTAATACTGTTCTACACTGCGATCCAGATTTATGAATGTAGGGTTTAGTGATCAGGGGGCCATTTTGGATACGGCACTGGATGGAGCCAAATTCTGCATTTTTTGGAGGGATAGGGGTCAGGGTTCAGGGGTCAGATCTCACCTCTGTCTGAACCATATGAGAGCGGTGGAGCCGCATGTCAAACACAGCTCCATAAATGTCCACTGTATCTTTAGTGTCCAGCTGCTGAAGGACCCGGTCCAGCGCGATAAAGGTTCCGGTGCGACCCACTCCGGCACTGCGGGACAGAACATACAGAGCGTTTTCACTGAGATAAACAAACTCCTTCAGCTTTTAGAAGATCCACATCTTTAAACAAATGGTATTTGATTACCAGACAATGAGAAAATAATTGATATTTTTATGAATAACTAGAACACAGAGTGTCACTGATGCACTGCATCTTCAATGTTCATGCACTGCGATGTTCACACACTGCATCTTCGATGTTCATGCCTGCAATCCTTAATGTTCACACACTGCATCTTTAGCGTTCATGCACTGCATCTTCATTGTTCATGCACTGCATCTTCATTGTTCATGCACTGCATCATTAGCGATCATGCACTGCATCTTTTGTTCATGCACTGCATCATTAGCGTTCATGCACTGCATCTTTAGCGTTCATGCACTGCATCTTTAGCGTTCATGCACTGCATCTTCCATGTTCACGCACTGCATCTTTAATGTGTACACACTGCATCTTCAGTGTTCACACACTGCATCTTCAACGTTTACGCACCGCGTCTTCAGCGTTTAGTGATAGATGTGATTAAAATAAATCTATTTATCTAAAGCCCCACACTGACCTACAGTGGACCACAGTGGGTCCGGAGCCGGGGGTCCTGTTGATGTAATCGCGTACAGTCCGCACAAACTGGATCAGAGACTGGGTGGTCTCCGGGACCCCGTGGTCCGGCCACACCGTGTAGTGAAACTGACGCACGATTCTGGAGAAGTTCAGCTGCTCTTCCTGCAGAAAAAACACAGAAGATGGTCTAAACCAGGGGTCTCAAAGTCAAACTACCTCGGGGGCTCTAACCTGGTGGTCTTTTCTGAGGGTGGGGGTCCCAAAACTGTCCCAAATATTTTGGCTGTTATTTATATTCTTCCTCTCTTTTTGAGGATATGTTTTAATGTAATTATATCACTGGCTTTTAATTCTACCACTCAAGTTTTATCATCATCTTTATTATTATTATTATTATTATTATTATTATTATTATTATTGTACGCACGCTGCAGATTTTGAATTCCCGGATGGTCCACTCTGGGAGAACGGACTCGGACAGCATTTGGACGATGAGATCTCCATAGTACAGCGAGTCCTGATCAAACGGCCAGTAGTGATCACACTTCACCTGCAGGACACACATACATCGAGAGGTCAGTGTGGTTTGATCTAGTGGTGACCTGAACATCACGAAAGACTCGTCCGTCCACGTACCCTCCCTTTCTCCACACACTGCGTCACCATGACCACGTTATGGACGTTCTGCTCCCATGCCATCTTCCAGAAGTCGTCCTTGGTGCCAGGCAGTGGCCCCTGGGTGGCGATATACTCCCTCCTGAAGTTGTTCCCCTTCAACACAAACCAGCACAGCAACATTGACCAGCTGAACCTCAGACATTACAGCGACAGTTCAGCCAAAAAACGTCCCAAATGCACTGCAAAAAATGGTATTGGCAGGTAATTTTGCTTTTTTTAAGAAACGTTCAAAAATAATTTTAAAATTTTTATATAATTTATTATATATATAATATATATATTCCATATATAGCATTATATATATTATCTATATATAGTATCATATATATTATATATTATCTACTAATGTAGTCAGATGCTCTTATTTGAAAGCAAGTTAAAAATGCTTTGAAATAAATGAAATAGTCTTAAAATAGGATTACAACAATCTCAAAATGAGAAACATCAGATATATAAACTAGGTTTAAGATAATTTTGCTTTACAAGGCACCATTTTTTGCTGTGTGCAGCCTGTAAGAGATTATTAGTTTGGAGGTTCTGACACTGCATGACACACTGTCATCTATAAAAATGAAGGTAACACTGTACTGTAGGTCAAAGTTCACAAAGCTACATGAAAAATAAGGCCTTCATGATATCTGAAACAAAATCTACATAAACATTAATAAACTCTTATTCCAGTAGTCAAAAGGTCGTAACTGTGACGTCATGTTGACAAAACGTGTGTGTGAGCTGACACTGATATTTCCTGATATTAGGTTGTTCTGATGCCTCCTGGGGTGAAATGACGGAAATGACTGTAGCTCAGTTTGTCACGCTGACTTAATGCTGACAGCTCGAATCATCAGATTAGTAGAAGAGTGATATTTCTGAGGCCTTTAGATCATTTCGTTTTACAGTTTATAAGATTTTAACTGTCACATGATCAGTTTTGTATCACTGTAATGAACACTAAGCCAGAGATTCCCGAACTTCCTACCTCGCAGCCCAAAAAAAGGACAAGATTTTACTAGTTTAAAATAAAAACATATTGAGGAGAGCAACATGGTGATATTTTAATCATTATTGTGACAAATTTTATTACAATATGTTTTTCTGATCGTATTATGAATATCGTCAGTACATAAAGGACACTGAGCCACTGCATGTTTCATTCCAGAGCAAAATTATTCATATTTGTTTGGAATTTAATTCACTGTGTGAAACAAAATTATTGTACTAGTTTTTTGGTAGCTTTTTTTATGCGACACTGATGGAGCATCCTGTTGATTCTGTATTACATATTCTGTATCCTGAAACGTCTTAAAGTATCACATCTATATATTTTTGCCCCTAAGTGTAACGACCAAAAGCAGCTGACTGGAATAAGCCTTTATAAATGGTTATGTAGGTTTATGTCAGTGGTCATGACCAGCTAATGCAGGTGTATGTAGCCATGTGAACGCTGACCCACAGATAAATATTATCAGACTTCTGTCTGTTTTCATAGACACAGAGTCAGTGATCCCTAACAGACTTGCTCAACAGCTCAACGCTGTGTGAAAACTGTGTAATCGAGAGTTTTTGTGCTAAACTATCGTTCAAAGATCCACAAGCAGACGAACTGCCTTACAGGAATGTAGCTGGCGTTGATGTAATCTGAACAGGGGTCATCGTCCACGTAGGAGAGCTTCACCCGGGTGGAATCATCTGAAACAAAACCACAGAAACAAGAGATCATGAGAAGCTGTGTGTCTCAGTCAGACAGCAGGACGAAAAGCTGCACCTGTTCACAGTAAACAGTCTTACAGGGCAGGATGTTATTGTAGCGGTTTTTCCCGCGGTTCTCCGGCAGTAACGCTGTGTCCAGTGGCTGGTTACGGCCAACGTCCTTCAGGTCCTGCAAACACGAAACAGAAGAGAATACAGTCAGTGGTGAATACAGTCAGTGGTGAACACAGTCAGTGGCGAATATGGTCAGTAGTAAATACGGTCAGTCAATACAGTCAGTGGTGAACACAGTCAGTGGCGAATATGGTCAGTAGTAAATACGGTCAGTGAATACAGTCAGCGGTGAATACAGTCAGCGGTGAATACGGTCTGTCAGTAAATACGGTCAGTGGGTCAGTGTTGACTCAAGACTCCTTTCACTGTTTTATTACAGTGAAAGTACATTATAGGTTCATAACTACCTCATACTCCTGTGAGAGCAGGTAGTTGGAGTCGGCCTGTAGTTTAGTGAGATGCGCCTCGAACTGCAGGAGTTTGATTGGGCTGAAAATAAAATGAGAGAAGATCTAAATGGCAAAGACAACAGCAGTGATTCTGCAACAGAAAGGTGGATTATAAAGATCATTTTTCACCCGCAGATTAAACCTGGTCCTGTTTTTCACTACTGATGCTGTAATTTAGTCCCAGAGGAGGCTTAACTTACAGAAAAAAAGGCATGAAAGTGCACACATACCTGGAGATTCGACGATTCCTGAAAAAACAAATAATGAAAATACAAATTAAATGAGAAAATCGGAATAACGGTGTGTATTTTTACCACTTTATAGTTTTCATCACTGTTTCATCTCTCTAATATTAATAATGTTTTACAAACATCACAGATACAGTTTTATAAACAGCTGTACCCCCTGATGGCAGAGTGCGGTCCTGTATGGTTTGATCTCTCTCTCCTCACACTCATCCGCACCACAGGCTCCTGCACACTGAAACACAACCACGAGATGCAGAAACGTTAGCAAACACACAAAGATATCTGTATTAAAAGTTGCTAAATGCTTTAAGATGAACCTAAATCAATTTTAAAGGTGTAATTTTGTGAACTTCACAAACTGTTTTTGAAAGTGAAAAGTTTTTGAAGTGCGGGAAACTGTTTACGGACACTATCAGCCTGGTAACACTGCACTGAAGTGGGTTTGATCAGAACACACCTGACAAACTTCTGACAATCGTGCCCAGTTTAACCCACTACAGACATCAGATTCTCTGTGCAAGTGTACCTGAGGCTGAAGGTTATCGCACACCGGATGAGTCACAGAACAGAGCACTGCTGTACCAGAGTGTGTCACATAATATGATCAAGTTCATGTTCATTTTACACACCAGATTCATTTAAATTACATTAAAGAGGACCTTTATGCTAATTTTCAATCTTCATAATTTTATTATGAGCTCTGATTGGTCAGCTCGCCCACTCTGTTCTGATCAGTCGACCTCCAGAGTGGTTCCCCCTCCAGGTTCCGCCCCTGTCCTGCAGTCTACAGACAGACCCTTCTCTCCTGAGCAGCTGTAACTCCGCTGTGGCTGTTTCTCCAGCGGTGACGGTTCTGCCGGATCAGTTTGATCCAGAGTGGATCCTGAAAGTCCGGTCAGCGTCTCTCCACACGGATACAACACTGAACACACTCTTCCTCCTCCAGTAGTCGCTGTGCGCTTTTTATTCAGTGTACTGATAACTGCCCTTCCGGGGGCGTAACGGAGTGGAGAGTTCGTATTTGCTGTACTGATAACTGCCCGTTACGGAGTGTATGTGGTGTGTAGTTTACAGCAGAAAGGTCACAGTAGTTTAACATTAACGCCAGAGTTACTCACACTTTATGAGCTTTCTGTCTGCAGATCAGCAGCACACTGACCCCCACAACCGAAACAATCAGGAACAGTCCGGCACTCACTCCCTCAATAATGCCCCCTACAGGCTCTGCAGGAACACAGCACCATAACAATAACACTTACACAGACTGACTGCACAGTGAGGAGTGTATGTCTGTGTGTGTGTGTGTGTGTGTGTGGGTGTGTGTGTGTGTGTGTGTGTGTGCAGTACCTGTGTGTGTGATTAAAGGCAAAGACAGGAAGGTATCAGTGAAGAGAGGAGATGAAAACTCAACACGGTTCTCATCAAACAGCTGCGTAAATGCCCGAACACTCAACCTGAGAGAGAGAGAGACATAGAGAAAGAACAGAGAAAGAGAGAGAGAGTAAATTATTACATTCAAAGTGGAAATATATATATATATATACATACATATATTTGTTTTCACTGTAACTCACACAAATGACTAAATTTTCTTTTAGAAAAGGCAGTTCTGATTAATCCAGTGGAGAAAAGGTAGGAGAACAGAGTGAGAGCGGAAGCTCAGGAAAAAGGAAACAGATCAAAAGAAACTCGTCCAAGAGTACAAACAGTCAACACATTCAGGTGTTCAATCACTTTACAGAAGCTGAGCTACTGAATATAAAACATATTTGAACTATTTAAACGAATCCAGTGGTTTGTAACTCTGTTCTGCGTATTTAGTGTTTTTCCTGCTGTGATATATTTTATAACTGTAAAAAATCTCTCTTAAACAGGCAGCAGGTGAAGCACCTGTATGCAGTCCTGGGTTTGAGCGGCCCGTCGCAGAACTCATGCTGATCTCTGGTCCCATCTTTACTGAGTTGACTGTCACAGCTGCCCCCAAGGATGTCCATGCCTGAGCCCAGAGCGATGTCGAACTCCTGGGTGGCGCTCTCGGGACCCTCGCCGCAATCACTACGGAAATAGCCAGTCTGATACACCTTTATGGAGCTGTTGCTTCTGTAGTCCCAGTAAGAGGGCAGCGGGTGGCGCTGTTCCGGCTGAAGGTCTTTACTGTCTGCAAACGAACACAGCAAAATTAAAGCTGAGAATAACAATAACAACATCCAGTATACGCATCAGAGTCATACCGGATTAAATCACTCCACAATTATTACTGTAAAAACTGCACACACTGCAGATTCATACTGGATTAAAAACACAGATCTTGCTTCCAATCATTTCAGTTATAGAAATCGAACTCTAATCCAGCTGGGTTAGGGTTATCGGGTTTGTCTAATTCTGAGATTATAATCTGAATCTGAAGATTTGAGACGAGCGCACACAGACCGTCAGACTCAGCCACGACGATGGTGAAAAATTTCACGGCTCCATTGACGTCGCTGAACCAGCTGCAGTTGAACCGGAAGTCGATGGTGGACTTGCTGGTGATGTTCGCCGTCGCCTCGTTGACTCGAGTGGACAGGGGGGGCAGTGGGGGTCCTACAAAAGCAGCACAGCTCACTGTCAGAACACGTCAACACTGAAACACAGCAAACTGGCATCTCACTTCAATATAAAACAAGATTCAGTTTGACTTTATATCAGCCCTTTTCAGCTCTGTAGCCACTTAGAGGTCAGCTCTGCTGTTCACATCTCAAAACACATTAATCATTCCTGACTCAGAGAGCAGCAGAAACTGTGTGGAAAGTGCAGATTATTAGTGATCGTAAGTGGAAGAGGAGACATTTTATTATGATTTAAATAAACAGAAAGTTACTGTTGTGTGTTCTGTCTTGTTTTATAGAAAGATGTTTGTAATTTTCTGCCGTTAAGACAGCTGAGCAGACCTGATGATCCAGAGTGTAAATTAAATGTACATGTAATTTATTAAGTAACAAAATATGTAATTATTTGTATAATTATATTTAAATCACTAGAAAAATGCATTTCCTGGAAAAGATGCAGAGTGATTGTGCAGCGTGAGCAGTTCCCAGGCAGTTGCTAGGGTGCTGTCAAACAGTTACTATGGCATTTTGGTGGTTGCTAGGGTGTTGCTTAGTAGTTTCTATGTTGTCCAATGTGGTTTTATGGGCGATGCTATATGTTTGCTATGCAATCTCTGGTGGTTGATAGGATGTTCCTAGGTGATTGCTATGGTATCTAAGGTGATTGCTATGGTATCTAAGGTATCTAAGGTGGTTGCTATGGTATCTAAGGTGATTGCTATGGTATCTAAGGTATCTAAGGTGGTTGCTATGGTATCTAAGGTGGTTGCTATGGTATCTAAGGTGGTTGCTATGGTATCTAAGGTATCTAAGGTGGTTGCTATGGTATCTAAGGTGTTTGCTATGGTATCTAAGGTGGTTGCTATGGTATCTAAGGTGGTTGCTAGGATTTTGCAAGAGTACTTGCATTATCGTGATATATACGTGGAGTGCACAAACTTTTGCCCACAAAATTCTGCAGTTAATTCCTATTCATTGTATGAAAACCATGCATGTGATCAAAAGCTGTATACAAGCACACCATTCCCGATCAGATTGAACATTCCGAAGTAGGAACGGTGTCAATATCTCAGAAACTGTGATTCTACTTATATAATGTATAATCACAAATTATATAATGTAAATTAACTGAAGAGCAAAACAGCAATAATTCTAGAATTCTAACCGTTGAAAAACAGTGAACAGTTTTTGGTTTAACTATGCAAAGTGTAGCTCTCAGTCTCAGAATAACTGCTGCACATGCTCAGCAGCTGACTGGGTCAGCTGCAGTTCTCTTTTCGACCACACGAGGTCAGAGCACTCACGGTCAATCATGGTGACCACGCTGTCCTCGGCGGCCTCACTGGTCATGGTGTCGGAGATGACTTTGACGGAGATGCTGTAGCGTCTGTGCGGCTCCAGCTCGGTGATGTGGTACTGCGTGGTGTTTCGCGCCGTTCTCTGAGAATACACCAGCGCAGGGGAGTCCTGCCGAGAACACTCGACGGTGTAGGAGTCGAAGTCGGTCTCCGGGCGGCTCCACGAGCAGGAGATAGCGGTGGAGCTCTGGGGCCGACAGTGCAGACTCTGAATCCTCCGAGGCTCTGAGAGAGAAAACATACAGGAGATTCAAAGAGACGGACAAAACTACAGAGCAGAGTCAAGAACAGTCTGAGATTCGCCAGTAATTTTGATCAGTTTTTATATCAGTTTTAATGTTATATGGTGACAAGCGTGAGTGTGATATCTAGTTTAGGAAGTACAGATGGTGTGTGATGTAGTTTAGTGAGTATATAGAGGGTGTGTTGTAATTTATATATATAGTTTAGGGGGTATATATACAGTCTGCAGTGTAGTTTAGGGTGTATATATACAGTGTGCGGTGTAGTTTAGGGGGTATATATACAGTCTGCAGTGTAGTTTAGGGTGTATATATACAGTGTGCGGTGCAGTTTAGGGTGTATATATATATATATATGGTGTGCAGTGTAGTTTAGGGTGAATATAGATGGTGTGCGGTGTAGTTTAAGGTGTACAGATGTGATCAGCACTGACTGGTGCGGATGCTCTTGTAGATGGGCTGGCTATAGGCTGGCTGTCCTCCGGAGCTGCTGATGGTGCGCAGGCTGAAGTGGTACAGCCGGCCGGGGTACAGGCCCTTCAGCAGCCTGCTGCCAGACGTGCGGCTGTGGTACGGGTTAAACACAGACAGTTGGTCACTGGGGGTCCACTGCAGGTCAAAATCATCATAATCCGTCCCCTCCGGAGCGCTCCACGTCATCTCCACGGACGTGTTGGTGACTCCTCCATAGGTGAAAGATAAGGGCGGCTTTGGGTCTGTGGTGAAAGAAGATCACATTTCAGAGGGTTAAACACTAAAAACTGAACCTAATGAGAAACTGCAGGACACAACTCAGTTAATAAATAACTGACTCTAAATGTAGGTATTGTGATATAAACTGAGTCTGTTCTACAGTTTCTCATTAGGCTGAATGAGATTTTCACTTGTGTTCTGTAAAGCTTGTTCAATCTCACAACAGCAGCTATAAAAGAACACATTTGTGGGCGGGGCTTATACAGTTGGTCAACCAGGAGAACCGTCCTGACCGTGGGCACTCACTTGTCCTGCCTTTGGTTGTTGCCATGTTGGTGAGATCTCCGCTCTGTGTGCGGACGACGGCAGTGTAGAGGCGCCCGGGGACCAGGCCGGTGAAGGCGTGGCCTCTGCTCTCCGCCCTCAGGCTCTGCTCAGCCTGCTGGGATTGATCAGGGTTGAAGAGCGCCAGAGTGTATCCGCTGACCTCGCCCTCCGCCCCCTGCCAGCTGATCCACAGAGTGCCCGTACTGTTCCTGCTCTCCACCAGCAGCATTGGCACCGCCGCCGGGACTACACAACAAACAACAGCAGCGAGCTTTATTAGACCATTCTGACAGCAGCAGGACATCAACACTCTATATTCACATACATCACACGAGTGATGGAACATGTTCTACAAAACCAGCCAGCCAAGATCACTATGCGCAATGCCAAGCGTTGACTGGAGGGGTGTAAAGCACACTGGACTTTACAGTAAACTTAGATTAACTTAAATCCTCTAATCTTCTCGCTTATTACTCTAAAGTTCATTTCAATCAGGGGGTCTTCTATTCCCCCTGATTGATTCTCAGGTGGTCTCTTTTACACAGCAAATCTGCCAGTATCAAATTTAACACTTTCCCTACATGGGTGAAAACATCTTCAGCTCATTCGTAGCTTCACTGCAAATCAGTTTAAGAAAACAGCAATTTTTCCAATACTTAAAACATGTGCAAAAGCACAATGTACTCGTTTTTACAATAATTAAGCATAAAACAAAAAATGACTGGAATAACAGCAGATTTAACTCCAGGATCAACTGTCATCACTAAAACTTCAACGCTGAAAAATCAGCTCTATTTAACACTGTAGAACTTTTTCACACTGTAGGGAAGCATCAATATGGAATTTCTAATATGGTATTGATAACAAATCACTTCCACTTTGTTGTGACTGATTTCAATAATTTACATTTGCATTTTAACCCCTAAATTCCCAAATTACCAGCCATGTTACACCCTAAAGGTTATTCTTCAGCAACTATATGGACTACAATGCAGTGTGAGTTGTTATTATTAAGTTATATAGAATGACAAACAGAAGCCTGACCCAACCGTTAAGTTCAGACTGTAATTTTATATATATATATATATATATATATATATACATATATATATATATATACACACACACATATGAAGTGTCGTCAGCATAAAACAGATTAAAATTGTAAACACTGATTATTGATTCATTTTTCACAGTCATGATGACCAGCAGTAATTCCAGTATTCGACCTAGAATAATATTTTCTGATTAGATAATAAAATACCAACCTCTGATAAATATCACACATCCGCAGGCAAAGCTCACCTGTCCTGGTCCAGATGGAGGACTGGTTTGTGTACTGTCCACTGCGCGTCAGAACCAGCGCCCTGTAGGCTGTGCCAGCAGTCAGGCTGTGGAAGGAGCAGGTCAGCATGGTGGCCCCCCCGCTCCGGCGATCCTGCAGAACCTCAACGCTGGTGTAGAGGAGAACCTCAAACCCATCAAACTCCCCTTCCGGAACTGACCAGGACAAAACCAGGCTGCTGGACGAGCTGCTCTGGATGGATAGGTCAGGAACAGACGCTGGACCTGCAGCGAACACAGACTCACCATCAGATCATAAATATCTGTGTTTAAACTAGAGCTGCAGTGAAGCTCTTAAACCCAGCAAGGGGGAGTGATGGCACTCCGCCGCTAGCTCGGCGCTAACATCAGACCCCATAGAGACGCTGATGGGAATTAGGATTACTGCAGTGGTCATCAGATAAACAACACACAGCAGGGTCCGAAAGTCTGAGACCACTTGAAAATGTAGAATTGTTTTCGTTTAATCCTGGAAATAAACAATAGAAAGTTTCAGAACGTTGAAAATTTAAAAAACAAAGAAAATTCAATGCAATTTGCTGTCATTATACTAATACAGGGTTTTACAGTATAACGAAACACTGTCTGGCTACTTCACTGTGCAGTGATTAAAAATAGACCGAGCTGGGCTTTGGACACCGCTGATGCGCACAGATGCTATAATAAATATACAGCCTTGTGCGACTGGCAGCTTGGGTGTGTGCAGTGTGTATTTATGGAATCGCGCAGTATGATGGGCAATTATAATAAGTGTCAGTAAAAAGCATCACAGAGTTTATATTCATAAAGTGGTGCAGGAAAATAAGAAGTAAAAGAAAGAAGAAAGAATATGTGGCACTGATCATATCAAAGGGGAAGTCCACTGACTGGGGCGTCAGTGTCCAGTACGTACGAGTCCGAGTCTCCGCCGTGGCCGCTTTACTCTGCACCCCCCCGCTGACCGCCTGGACGATGACGCGGTACTGTTTCCCTGGTGTGAGGCGCGTGAAGACGTGCTGGAGCTCGTCCCGCGGCTTCAGGCTACTCCCCAACACAGAACCTCGCTCGTCCTGCAGCTGCACACTGAAACCATCACAGACCCCCAAACCTGCACGCCAGCTCACCAATACACTGCAGTCGCCCACCCCCCCATTAGCCTGCAGGGACTCCACACTGGAGGGCACTGAGAGAGAGAGAGAGAGAGAGAGAGAGAGAGAGAGAGAGAGAGATACAGACACTGTACTGAACTGAGGTGTAGGTGGATATATGTAATATGAATACACAATGTATTAATAATAATAATAATATAATAATACATAAAAATACATAAAAAGTTATTGAACTCAACAGATTTAGCAGTTTAGTCTCTGTGTTTTCTGTCTGGACTGTGGAGCGAAATACACGTTTGAAACTTTAAATCGTGAAAGTCTTAAATTGAAAAATTGTGAAAGGTGAGTTTTCCACATTATGGCCTCCTTACTGAGCGGCTGCAGGTACCTGTGCGTGCGGTGGCGGTGCTGTTGTTGATGAGTGACCCGCTGATGGACTGGACAGTGATGTCGTACTGCTGTCCGGGCTCCAGCGAGCCAAAGTTAATTTCGTTAACGTGTTTAGGGACAGGCCGGAGGTCCAGCGGCCGCCCCGGACCGGAGAGGGACACGCAGTAACTGTCCACATCACCCTGACCCGGCGTCCAGCTGACCTTCACACTGCTGCTCTGACCCTCATTACTGATGTGGATGTTCTTCACTTTACTGGGAACTAAACAAGACACAGACAGCGACTCAGCACAGACAGCAGTCTAACAGCACTAACTGCACAGAAGGAATAAGAACATTATTACAGCGAAATGAATGGGTGATTTTGGAGCTTTAGTTCAAACAGAACTGTGGAAACTTTTTAACTCTATAAACAGCTAAGATTAGCTAACTCTGCTGACTAAAACAGCTAAGATTAGCTAACTCTCCTGACTAAAACAGCTAAGATTAGCTAACTCTCCTGACTAAAACAGCTAAGATTAGCTAACTCTCCTGACTAAAAACAGCTAAGATTAGCTAACTCTCCTGACTAAAACAGCTAAGATTAGCTAACTCTCCTGACTAAAACAGCTAAGATTAACTAACTCTCCTGACTAAAACAGCTAAGATTAGCTAACTCTCCTGACTAAAACAGCTAAGATTAGCTAACTCTGCTGACTGAAAACAGCTAAGATTAGCTAACTCTCCTGACTAAAACAGCTAAGATTAGCTAACTCTCCTGACTAAAACAGCTAAGATTAGCTAACTCTCCTGACTAAAACAGCTAAGATTAGCTAACTCTCCTGACTAAAACAGCTAAGATTAGCTAACTCTGCTGACTAAAAACAGCTAAGATTAGCTAACTCTGCTGAAAACAGCTAAGATTAGCTAACTCTCCTGACTAAAACAGCTAAGATTAGCTAACTCTGCTGACTAAAACAGCTAAGATTAGCTAACTCTCCTGACTAAAACAGCTAAGATTAGCTAACTCTGCTGACTAAAACAGCTAAGATTAGCTAACTCTCCTGACTAAAACAGCTAAGATTAGCTAACTCTGCTGACTAAAACAGCTAAGATTAGCTAACTCTCCTGACTAAAACAGCTAAGATTAGCTAACTCTCCTGACTGAAATTGCTAATGCTAAGCTGACTAAAAAAATTGCTAACACTTGCTGACTGAAATTAGCCAGATTAGCTAACTCCTGGTGGTGTTTGCTGCTGTGAGTGTGAATGGCACAGCGCCACACAGTGTACTGAGCCGGTACCTGTCCTGCCCTCGATGAACTGTGTGCTGAGGTTGGGTCCGCTGAAGGTGGACACTACGATCTTGTAGAGTCGTCCAGGTGTGAGGGAGGAGAGCAGGTAGTGGGTGGTGGTGCCGCTCAAGGTGATCGGAGGAAGCACCTTCATGTCATTGAAGAGAAGCTGAACCTCGTAGTGATCCACATCTCCAGGTGCCGATGTCCAGGTGACCTTCAGCTCCTCTGTGCCGCGGCTGGCCAGCGTCAGGTTCCTCACCGCCGCCGGTACTGAAACAGCAGAGCGGCAGTTAAAACGCTGTAACAGACTCACTAAACTGTGTAAAGAGCTCGTATGATGGACGGACGCATCCCCCTCATTTTTATTATAAGAGTTCGCTGTGGAGCAGTGCAGTGTCGTCATTCTGTGTTCTGCGTTATGACCATAGTAGGAACGTTCTCACTCTGTGGTACATTTAAACGTTCTAAAGCTGAAACGTTCTGCCGAATGGACAGTTTTCCTCCTGACGCCGCGAGATCCTCTGAATTACGAGGTTGAAGTTGTTCATCTCCTATGATCTTACTAACCTGGCTAACCAGCCGGTTTACTTTTCTGTTTGATTATTAGGTTCCCACACCATGATATGATATTAAATATCACAATTATATCCTTATTTCCACTCATTAATGACCTTGTTACTCCAGGCATCCAGTGACGCTCGTATATGACTAAATGAATCAGGTGTGGAACTGTTTCTACTTTGGGCACAGCAAAAAAAATCATACATTTCAAACCATATGTTCACTTTCCAGTGCATACAATCACTGCAAAAACTGCCTCTTTCAAATTTGTTGTTTTCGTGACATCACTAAACCCATTTCACTCACACATTTTCACCTATTCAACCTCCAACAGTTCAGCCCCGCCCATTCACGCTGAAATTACGAGGAGTGTTTTAGCCTAGTCTGCTTTTTTTTTCCTAATTTAGTCGTATCCTGACTCCCCCAATCACACGACACCCCCAGCTCTAGGAGGGTGAAGGTAAACACAGTTCTGAGAAGCTCCACCGCATCTTTACAAACTGACGCTAACGCAGCGTCACTGTACAGCTGAACGCGCTTGGAAGAGAACGATAACCTGTTACCCGAAGAGCTGTTACGCCAGCTAACAGACGCTAGCGTCGTGCTGAGTGATGGGGGGAGACGGGGGGCCATCCTGCCCACCGATCGAACGAACAACCTCCTGGTCTGCTTTTTGATTGAGCAATATAGGACAGCCAGAGAACAGAGCTCATTTACATATCTCAGTCTTAAAGGCACAGTAACTTTTTAATTGTAAGAGATAAAGAGAGGCTGTAAACTGATTATTAAAATGAATTATGGGTGTTTTTGGTACCTAAACCCACAGAAACGTGGGACACAAGCTCTTTAATAACGAATCTGAGATCTGTTCACTCAGGTCAAGAGCTGATCTTGGATCTGTTCCTGTCAGTAAGAACATCATAAATAAGCTGTGAATCTGTTCCTAAATCAGCAGATTTATTATAGAACTCTTTGATGTACTGATGACTGTTTATCTCACAGGTGACTCTTGAACGATTCCTGTGTTGTCATGGGGACGCCCTGACCCTGTGCAGGGACTCACTACTGTGCGCTCAATCAGGTGTCGCAGTGGTCACTCACAGGTGCGTCCATGTGTGGAGACGCTGGACTCATACGTTCCGCTCCAGGTGCTGACGATGACGGTGTAGAGTCGCCCCGGGACCAGCCCGCTGAACACGCACTCGTTTTGAGAGCTTGGAACTGTCCGGTTCTGGTGGAACAGGTTGTTGTGTTTGATGGCCACCTGGTAGTAGTCGAAGTCGCCGGCCGCGTGGCGCCAGTACACCTTCAGAGAGTCGTACCGCGCCATGTGGGTCGCCGTCGGGGTCAGAACGGTGGACGGCTCTGAGGAGGAACGCGGCAGTGACATCACAACTACTGACGCTTACAGTCGCATCAATCATATTAATAATCACACTGATTATAATCAATAACTTACACAGTTCACACTGAAATTATTAAAGGGCCCAGAAAAACAGCCGTTCTTCACTTTTTAAAACGAGTTTGTTAAAGTTTGTACATCTATCTGCCCATTCAGCCTACAGCAGTTTAGCCCCGCCCATTCAGCCTACAGCAGTTTAGCCCCGCCCATTCAGCCTACAGCAGTTTAGCCCCGCCCATTCGGCCTACAGCAGTTTAGCCCCGCCCATTCAGCCTACAGCAGTTTAGCTCCACCCTTTCAGCCTACAGCAGTTTAGCTCCACCCATTCAGTCTACAGCAGTTTAGCTCCACCCATTCAGCCTACAGCAGTTTAGCTCCACCCTTTCAGCCTACAGCAGTTTAGCTCCACCATTCAACTACAGCAGTTTAGCCCCGCCCATTCAGTTACAGCAGTTTAGCTCCACCCTTTCAGCCTACAGCAGTTTAGCTCCACCATTCAACTATAGCAGTTTAGCCCCACCCATTCAGCCTACAGCAGTTTAGCTCCACCCTTTCAGCCTACAGCAGTTTAGCCCCACCATTCAGCCTACAGCAGTTTAGCTCCACCCATTCAGCATACAGTAGTTTAGCCCCACCCCTTCAGTGGGTCCAAATCAGTCACACGAACGTTTTAGGTGGAACTGAGTGATCTGGGCTGTTTAGAGTAACTCAGCTGTACAGTGAGGCTCTTACGCGTTCTCTGCTGGACCACCGTGTGGTTCTCGTACATTCCGCTGCGGGAGCTGATCGAGATGTTGTAGAGCCGTCCGGACACCAGAGACTTGAACACGCACTCTGGACTGGACCTGGACACAGTCAGCGTGTGAACGATCCTCTCACGGTCACTCAGAGTCACCAGGTAACTGTCCACCTCCCCCTGCGCCGGCCGCCACGACACGCTGAGGAAGTCCATCCTCCCATTATTACTGACCGACACCTCCCGCACTGCCGCAGGCACTGCCAATCACACAAAGAGAGACCAATCAATCAAAAACAGCACTGCCAATCACACACACAGAAAGCTCATTCATTTGCAGGCATTTCCAACCACACACAGATAACCTTATCAATTACAGAAATTATTAATTACACACAGATAAACTTATCAATTACAGGCATTACTACACAGAAATAAATGAACTACAGACACTACCAGTCATATACAAAGAAATCAGTTAACTACAGGATTACCAAACATAGGCAAATAAACGAATAAACTACAGGCTTTATCAGTCATACACAGAGAACCTGATCAACAACAGTCAGTATCAATCAGCTCAGTCATCTGCAGGCATTTCTAATCATACACAGACAATAAACTGATGAACGATCAACTACAGACATTACTCATCACACACAGGTAAAATGATCAATTACAGAAATTACTGATTACACAAAGATAAACTGACCAACTACAGACATGACCAATAACACACAGATAAACTAATTATCTGCAGGCATTATTAATTACATACAGATAGACCTCTCAATTACAGGCAGTAGTCAGAGCACAGAGATCTCTCAGTCACCTGTAGACGTTATCAATCGCACTCTGATGCCTCTAAACAGGTCCAGAGGATCTTTATCAGATATGACTAGTGTTGTAAAGTATAAAGGCTTATTATTTAACACTTTCGGGCAACATTGAATAAACGAATGAAAAAAATGGCGAAATCGACACAGAATAATAACATTTATTAGCAGTTATTAAATTATTTCTGCTAACAAAGAACAAAAGCTGTGAAAACAAAGAGTTCACAACTTTTGTGAAGCTGTCAGCTCAAACATAAACATCAGCTGAAAATAGAAGAACATCCTCTCGGACAAACAACAGCCCAGCAGGAAGTCTTCAGACTGAAAGCCCTGCGCATGTCCAGGACTTCCTGAAAATTCCAGGAATATTCCTGTTATTCCAGATAAGAGCAGTTTGGAATTTAACTTCTTCCTCAGACTCACTGAGCTGTGAAGAAATTCATCTTTTGCTTTTAAAGTCTTCATTTAACACTGAACTGATACAGATCAGACGAACGTCCACTGTGATTGACTGACTGACTAACGTTAACGCTGTGTGTGCTGCTATCGTCACTGACCCGTCCGGCCCTCGGACACCGTCTGCCTGGACGACGTGCCGCTGCGCACCGTGGTCACCACCACCCTGTAGAGGGCGCCAGATCTCAGGGCCTGAAAGTGGTAGGAGGTGGCGTCTGCAGGAACGCTCTCGTTCTTGATGATGACACTGTCGTGGATGAGCAGCAGGCGATACGAGTCGATTTTTCCCGCCGCTTTCTCCCACCTCACCTGCAGAGCGTCCGTCCAGCCCTTGTTACTCACCTGCAGCCCAGTAACACCTGCTGGCACTGAACACACACACATACATACACTTTCACAGGGTGACATTTCAGGACTGCAACTGTTAAAAACAATAATAAAAAGTTCTGAACTTTATAATAATTCGAGTGCAGCCCTGTACTGTTATATTATTATATTATATTGTGTTATCTGTGTTGAGTTGAGTGTAATGAAGTTTCCAGATGTAACTAAACGTTCTTCTGTGATCTGCACTGTACTTTACATTAACCATGTACGTCTGCAGTCAGACTCTCACACACAATGTATTTCACATAAACAAGATATCAGATCATAACTGCATTTTCACAGAGTATCAATACCCACAACACTCGCTTCTGTCCTGTTAAAGGATCATTTGATCATATTTAAAATGAAGATACTGGAACACAAACTCATTTCTAAAGGTATCAGACAGTGAAGAGCATCAGACAGGATTCTGGATATTTTCATACATTTTCAGATAAAAATAAATGTATTTCTAAACATATATTTTGTTAATATGGCAATATATTCTAAAAATACATTTTAGTGTTTGGAGTGTATTTCAGCAGTGTGTTTAAAATGGATTTCAAATATACAAAAATACATGTTCATATATTTTTTCACGCTGAGCGTAAAGCGGTTTTCTCCTCTTTTAGCTGTGAGCTGATCAGATTCATGCAGAACAGGAAAATAATTGAGACTCTGTTCTAAAACAGAACGCAGGAGAACCCGTGTGAGGGCAGGTGTGTAACTCACAGGTGCGCGCTGTGACGGAGGCGGAGCTGCTGAGTTCTCCGCTGTTCGTTACCACGGTGATGGTGTATTGCTGTCCAGGTGTGAGGTCACTGAAGCTGCATTCCTTCATCTCTCTGCTCAGAGATGTCCTCTTCACCTCTCCCTTTCCGTCTCTCAGCACGACGGTGTAGTCATCCCACTCTCCCACCGGGGGGCGCCACTGCACCCGCACAGAGCTCTTATCACTGTGACGCACCTGCAGCTGCTGAACTGACCGAGGTGCTGAGAGAGAGAGAGAGAGAGAGAGTACAGAGAGAGAGAGAGAGAGAGAGAGAGAGAGAGAGAGAGAGAGAGAGAGTACAGAGAGAGAGAGAGTGTACAGAGAGAGGGAGAGAGAGAGAGAGAGAGAGAAAGAGAGAGAGAGAGAGTGTACAGAGGGAGAGAGACAGAGAGAGAGAGAGAGAGAGAGAGAGAGAGAGTGTACAGAGGGAGAGAGACACAGAGAGAGAGAGAGAGAGAGAGAAAGTGATGAAGAAATATGTGACAACATTAATAATAACAGATAAAGTTAATTAGCATATAAATTTAGCTTTATAGATAAAAATGTCAGAAACCATTTGGTGATTAGCTGTGGCTTGGTGATAAGCTTTTGCTTGGTGGTTAGCTTTGGCTTGATGGTTAGCTTTGGCTTGGTGATTAGCTTTTGCTTGGTGGTTAGCTTTGGCTTGATGGTTAGCTTTGGCTTGGTGATAAGCTTTTGCTTAGTGATTAGGTGTGCCTTGGTGGTTAGCTGTGGCTTGGTGATTATCTTTGGCTTGGTGATAAGCTTTTGCTTGGTGATAAGCTGTGGCTTGGTGGTTAGCTGTGGCTTGGTGGTTAGCTTTTGCTTGGTGATTAGCTGTGGCTTGGTGGTTAGCTTTGGCTTGGTGATAAGCTTTTGCTTGGTGGTTAGCTTTGGCTTGGTGATAAGCTTTTGCTTGGTGATAAGCTTTTGCTTGGTGATTAGCTTTGGCTTGGTTGTTAGCTGTGGCTTGGTGGTTAGCTTTTGCTTGGTGATTAGCTTTGGCTTGGTGATAAGCTGTGGCTTGGTTGTTAGCTTTGGCTTGGTGGTTAGCTTTGGCTTGGTGATTAGCTTTGGCTTGGTGATAAGCTTTTGCTTGGTGGTTAGCTTTGGCTTGGTGATTAGCTTTGGCTTGGTGATAAGCTTTTGCTTGGTTGTTAGCTTTGGCTTGGTGGTTAGCTTTGGCTTGGTGGTTTGCTGTGGCTTGGTGATTAGCTTTGGCTTGGTGATAAGCTTTTGCTTGGTTGTTAGCTTTGGCTTGGTGGTTAGCTTTGGCTTGGTGATTAGCTTTGGCTTGGTGGTTAGCCTTTGCTTGGTGGTTAGCCTTCGCTCAGTGGTTAGCCTTCGCTCAGTGTTTAGCTTTTGCTCTAGAAGTTTCTCTGACTCAAACACTGAGAGACTGTATAGTTTCGTTAAAGCTGTGCTGGTGAGTGAAACACGTTAGCCTCGTATTCGGTGAGAACGCTGCTTACCCAAACTCCCGTGGCAGTACTGCGTGGTGGTCAGTGAGCCGCTGATCACGGTGACCGCAGCCGTGTAAAGCCTGCCGGGCACGAGGTCCAACCCGGAGAACAGGAACTCTAGCACCGCCTTGTCTGCCGTACGGTTTACCAGCACAGAGGAGCCGTTCAGCAGTAGCACGTGGTAGTACTGCCACTCGCCTTTAGGGGGCGCCCACATCACCTTCAGAGCGGTCTGATCACTGAGACCCACCAACTTCAGCTGAGCAACTTTACCAGGCACTGAGGAGATAGAGAAAAATATACTATCACTTAAATTACCTAATATCACAAAGTCTAGCTCTTTTCAGCTATATTCATTAGCACAAAGTAGAAATGCTTAATTCCGCCACTTAATTTACTCATTTATTTACTAATGTGATTTCTAAACTCTTTAATTAGATTTTCTGGAGAGCATCTGAAGTTTCTTAACGTAAAGATTTTTCCTTCTTTTTTAACAGACGCCTGCGCTGACTAGCATCGCGTTGAGTGATGGTGGGAGAAGGGAGGCCACCCTACCCACCCAGAGAGAGTGAGTCTTGGACTCCCGGCTACGGACGGCTGTAGCATCACCAGGGATCAAACTCGTGATCTCCTGATGAGGGACAATGCTTAGCCGGTTGCGCTACTCGGGAGCCACCAAGAAACGTTTTTGTTTGCCACTGTTACAGTTATGCTAATTTTCGCTAGCTCATCTCTCTGGGATTAACATTAATTTATGTTAGCTCTAAACTAATTACCCACACTGGTTTTAATTCTGCTGATGGCAGCTCCAGCTTAAACACAGACAATTGAATTCTGTATGACACGTTACATATTCTTTACTTTGTATGTTGCAGTTTTTCAATAAAGACTTAAAGCCTCACTCTGAATTTTACTGGAGTGGACTGTTAGCCTGTTAGCTATCTGAGCTATCTACTTAAACTAAACCACATTCTTACACAGAGTAGTGGTGGGAATAAGTCGATTCTCAGATGCGTCGCGATGCAGACGTGGACGATTCTGAATCGATTCATAAATGTCAAAAATCGATTTTCTACATATTGATTGATAACGTAATGTTGACGGAGCACAAAAGGCGGAACTTTGCAAAGTGCAGAAGTGCAGCGCCCAGGCAGTCTGTGGCAGCAAACTGCATATAAACTAGCGCAGGGGTCGCAACCCAAATGTTAATAAGACTCATTTTGTCCTTTCAACAAAAATCAAACCACCTTAGGAGCCACAACACTGAGTCCATTTTACCATCTTGGCTGTAAATGTGTCTCAGTCAGTGCTGATGTCCCAGTGTAGTCTACAAATATAATACGAACAAAAACACAGACTTACTTTACTCTGCTTTAAGCTGTAGCTCAGCTATAGCCACTTTTCTCACATCTCCAGCAGGAAACTTTTCCACAAAAGTAGAACAGTTTCTTGTAAAATGTCTCTCAATTTTCTACTTTTTATGAGACTCAAGTCGCTTCTCATTCACCAGCTTCTTGTTCAAATTTTCCCGTTCCACCTTAAATGGTGCCTGAGGCACCAGAATGTAACTGCTGCACCATTTAAGGTGCAACGGGAAAATTCGAACGAGGATCTTCTTCATTTCATTGCAACAGCGCATTTTATCACTAATGAATGGCAGCAGCATCTCATGTGCTCCAAACAAGAGCAGCGAATGAGAGCCTTCCAGTTCAGGCCACATCACTTCCACAGTGAGAAAAAAGAAATCATGTATAGAAAAAAAGATGCATCGATAATCGTTTTTTAATCACATCGCAGCCTCTGAATCGTAATCAAATCAAATCGTGAGGTGACTAAAGAGTCCCACCCCTAAAACAGAGTGTAACTAGTACGGTTCTAGACATTTTACTCCATATGCAGGCAGTTTATGGCTGATTGTACAGTAATGTAGTCTCTCTAATATGTATATTTATGGTAATATCACTGCTTCCTTACAAATAATCTGCTGTGTTACCTGAGTCTCTGTGACTCACCTGTCCTGCCTGTCGCTCTGACCTCAGAGCTGAGCTGTCCACTTCTGGTCTTCACAGTCACCTGATATGCTCGTCCAGGTGTGAGTCCGGTGAAGTGACAGTGGGACGTGTTGGGGTAGAGGGTGACCCACTGATGTTCAAAGGAGGAGGAGGAGGAGGATAAATTGACCAGGTAAGTGTCCACTCTGCCTACTGCAGGAGTCCAGGAGGCATTCAGAGTGACCTCGCTTCCATCATTCTGCAAAAGCAGACTGCTCACAGGAGCCGGAGCTGCAGGAAGAACGCAAACAAACAAATAGGCTGAAAAACAAGCTCCACCCATAAACAGCACCTGACCACTGGCTCTGTTAAACAAGCTCCACCCATAAACAGCACCTGACCACTGGCTCTCTTAAACAGTCTCCGCCCATAAATAGCACCTGACCACTGGATCTCTTAAACAAGCTCCACCCATAAACAGCACATGAACACTGGCTCTCTTAAACAGTCTCCGCCCATAAATAGCACCTGATCACTGGCTCTCTTAAACAGGCTCCGCCCATAAACAGCACATGACCACTGGCTCTGTTAAACAGACTTCGCCCATAAACAGCACATGACCACTGGCTCTCTTAAACAGACTCCACCCATAAACAGCACATGACCACTGGCTCTCTTAAACAGACTCCACCCATAAACAGCACATCACCACTGGCTCTCTTAAACAGGCTCCACCCATAAACAGCACATGACCACTGGCTCTCTTAAACAGACTCCACCCATAAACAGCACATGACCACTGGCTCTCTTAAACAGACTCCACCCATAAACAGCACATCACCACTGGCTCTCTTAAACAAGCTCCACCCATAAACAGCACATGACCAATGGCTCTCTTAAACAAGCTCCACCCATAAACAGCACCTGATCACTGGCTCTCTTAAACAGGCTCCACCCATAAACAGCACATGACCACTGGCTCTGTTAAACAGACTCCGCCCATAAACAGCACATGACCACTGGCTCTCTTAAACAAGCTCCACCCATAAACAGCACCTGACCACTGGATCTCTTAAACAAGCTCCACCCATAAACAGCTCCTGACCACTGGATCTTCCACTGGATTGGAAAATTCCAATAAGAAGCTGGTGAACAGAAAACCAGCTTCAGCTTTGTGTCTGTAATAGACTCGACGTGGTGTCTGAGTCTGTGTGATGCAGTTCTCCATAAAGACTGTTTATCTATGCTAATGTACTTCAGTCCATGTTTATAGATATATAAACGTGCACCTCCACACAGTGCGAGACCAGTGTGTGGTGATTTTGGAGCTCTAACGCTCTCCACTAATCTCAGTCTTTATTTTCATTAACAAAAGATTTCCTCCACAAAAATCTCTTACAGGAAGCCATCACTGTTACAGGAAGAGGCGGAGTCACCTGTCTGGACCTCTTTGCTTGTGTTTCGTTGCTTCTCAACAGCCTCCGTTACCACGGTGACGCTGTAGAGGGTTTCCGGGGGTGAGGTCAGAGACGACGCAGGACGTGACTGTACTCCCAAACTTCAGCCTTCGGACGGGCTCAGCTCCGTGACTCACAATTACCCAGAATGCCTCTCTCCGCCCTGGACCTGGCTGCCAGGAAAGGCTGATGTTGGTGGAGGAGACGGAGACCTGCAGATCGCTCACCGCCGACGGAGCTGCACAACAGACCAGCATATAGAAAGCACAGATAAACGTATTATTACGTATTATTACGATCAGTACAACAGCCTCCCTTAATAATGCTTTCATCCCTACATAAAAACCTCAATAAATGCTCCTATATGCTACAACAGGAGATATTAGTCCATAAACCACCTCAATAAACGCTCCTATATGCTACAACAGGAGATATTAGTCCATAAACCACCTCAATAAACGCTCCTATATGCTACAACAGGAGATATTAGTGCATAAATGAGTTATTTCTGCCCAGTTGGATTCTCACTGTTGTGTTCAGGGGACTGAGGTCCCAAATCTGGCAGGAAATGGTTTAAATAAGCTGCCTGCCCAAAACAAGAAGCAGAGGAGCGACGCTAGTTGAGGAATGTGTCGTTACAGCAGCGTGTTTAGTTCTGGACATTCTTTCCATCTCTATTCTCTATTGTTTACACTGTGTGTGCCCAAAAAAGAGAGAGCTGATCTGGTTTCCTGTCGTCTGGAGCTGTGTCCGGCCCTAACGACACATTCCTGATCCGGACACCTTCGCTTTTAACTTTCCCCTCTCTGTGGCACTGAGTTCAATTTAAATGTTGAAGATGGACCTGACTGTGCTGGCATTCTCCTGTGTTTATATGTGAATACATTATAGCTGGGAATCATTTGTTTTGAGTTGTAAGAGTTGAATTTCGTGAGAGTCTGTTGTTGTAAACTGTCCTGTTCAGAAGACGTTGTGCTTCTGATGCTAATGTAAACAAGACAGAGCTCCACCTATTGCCGCAGTGCCTGTGAGCGCTGTGGATGTCTTGCTTCCACTCTTGGCCTCTAGGCGGAGTGTGTAGAGCGCTCCGGGTATGAGGTTGGTGAAGCCAGAGCGCGGTTCGGCACTGCCCTCCACTCTGGTCTTCTTAGCCACGGTTGTGCCAGTGTCGGACAGCACCAGCTCATACCAGTCCACCCGGCCTCTGGAGCGCTGCCACTTCACCCGCAGACCCGGACTGGACGACTGATCCGGAACAATCTCCAACCTCGCTGGCTTCTCTGGGACTGCAAACAGAGAAACAGACTGGGTGAGTTACGGTACGGTCACTACAGATCGGCGATCAATACGGACACAGAAATATAACAGACTCAGAAACCACATTAAGTCTAGAGTGTGTAAATCCCCCCTGGTATTCGGGGGTCCCGTGTCTGTCTGCTAACTCTCTCTCCATAGCGGCGCTGATGCTTCAGTGTGAGTAAATGTTTGTTTATCAGCTGTTCTTCTGTAGAGTCTCTGTTCTAGTGCGGTTCTGCGCTCTTCCTCACAGCAACTGAGATCTTCCTCGTCTCCTCTTCTGTCTTCAGTGTGAGAAATGAGGAACAGTCACTCTTCACTCCAAACTCTTGGGAAACTGGGCGAGTTTTCAGATTTACAGATCTGCTGCAGCTCATTGTAAAGTGTTTCAGAGGAATCCGGGCAGAGTTACAGTTTCTAGGCTATGAAGGACCAACTGGGTGAACCAGTCTGCTACAGCGCCACCCTAAGGCAGAGCAGTGCTGTAGCTCTAGTTAGTTAAGAACACCAGAGACAGAAGCTGATTGTGGGGGAAGCAGATAAACAATCAGCTTCAATGAATCTGTGTTTGAGGGTCTATTTTTCCATAATGGACAGCATAATGTCATAAAAAGGAAATTTGATTTTAAACATTTGGGGGGTCCAAGAGGATAATTAGGAGTTCCCTCTGTATTCCACACCTTGCTTACAGACCATGGCTGGCAGCGAGGAAGGGACAGAATCTCCTGAAAGTCTGTAGCAACACCAGTTATCAGACTCACACTCCCGACGACAGAGCCAACGCGTGTGCTGCTGTGTCTCCAAAATTGAGCCCTTCATCATTTCAAAAAGGAGTCAATCTGAGAAACAGCCCTGACCTCACATGTACTGAGAGAGGAGCACTGCTGTAAGATTCACTAAATAATAACTGAAAATGCAGCATGAAAACAGGAAAAAGTAGGAACGAGGACTCCGAGGAGCTCTTACACAACCTGTGAGGACACCGGAGTGCTGAACAGCTTCCTGTCTTTGTGCTGCGATGAAACAAGTTCAAGATTGAGGAGGAAGATAAGATTGTTTCAGCTTCTCAGAGAACAGAGTCGAGTTATGTGCATCCGAGCAGGAGGGACAGCAGATATCTGACCATACTGAATAAACCCTGACCTTCTCAGCAGATCCCTGATCACACTGAATAACCCCTGACCTTCTCAGCAGATCCCTGATCAAACTGAATAACCCCTGACCTTCTCAGCAGATCCCTGATCACACTGAATAAACCCTGACCTTCTCAGCAGATCCCTGACCATAGTGAATAAACCCTGACCTTCCCAGCAGATCCCTCACCCTTTCAACAGAACGCTGACCTTTTCAGTAGATCCTGACCATGTCAGCAGAACTTTGAACATACTGAATAAACCCTGACCCTGAATAGATGAACCCTGACGACTCCTCACACTATTAGATCACATAATCTTCTAAGAAAATAAACTCCAAAAATCATAACCTTAATTATACATTCTTAAGAAAGAGGTCCGATCTTCTGAGCAGGTGTGTGTCTATGATCATTAACAGTAGCCACGTTTACATGCAGCCTGATAATCCGTTAATCCGACTAAATAGCTCAATCGGAATAGAATACGTCCATGTAAACATCTCAATCGGAATAGTCTAGTCCGATTGAGGCCATTCGGAATACAATTTCAATCCGATTGAACGAGGTGGGTAATCCTGTAAATAATCAGTTAAATAGAAGAATAATGTCCATGTAAACACCTGTATCTGATTACATTCCCTATCGGAACGTGTAAGTACGTTCTGCGCATGTGTGTCGCGTCATATCAAAAGCACAGCACTCAACCGGGTCTGGCAAGTTTATACCGTTCAACATGGCGGAGCAGAAACTGGTCTGCAGAGGAGACGAAGTTTCTGCTCTGATCTTTAAAAGACGGCGGCGGGACAGACGTCCAGCTTATGTGTCTCAGAACACGACGTCTTCCTCTCGGCCTTCTTTAATAAGGACATGTGAAGGACGTTTTCCTGAGTCTGACATTTTAAATCAGTTAAAAACTCCAGCGCGCCAACTGGAAACTCATCTCACTCGGACTGGAGCTCAGGTGATGCTGGTCGTCATGGTAACGTCTACACTAAGTGGTACTCCACACATGCGCGTCATTTTGGATCGGATTACTTGTAGTGAGCATGTAAATGAAGATTTTCATCAGATTGTTGAGTAGAGTGAACATATAAACACCTCAGTCTTAATCTGTAATCGGAATCAATCAGATTGGCAAAAAACTTTGCATGTAAACATGGTCAGTGTTTCCAGTGGAAGGCGGTGAATGAGAGACGCTCTGGAGAGACTGAGGGATGAATCTGCTCTACAGTTTTACATTCACTGTTTAGAGTTTTCGGTTCTGCACTGATGTTGTTCTGTCACTCAGGAATCTTTGGCGTCATAAACAGGAGCCAAACTGATCCTGCAGGTGTTCTGACAGGTTGATTGATACCGTGTGCTGAATCTACGGAGAGCAGAGCAGATATCAGTCCTAAACGAGGCCAACTGCACCTCTCACCCTGACGACGGTTCTACAGTTATTCAGCGCAGGAACCTCAGGAAACACGCTGAATTTCCATCACGCTCCGCATGCGGAAGCTGCAAGGCCACCGAGGAGCCGCAAAAGGTTCCCTGCTTAGAATGCAAAGTTCATACGTGCGCACTCGAATCTGCCCCCCCCAAAAGAAAACACAGCAGCCTCCTGCATCCGCTAGAACGAGGTAACAATGAGGAAGGGAAACGGCTGAGGGAGAGGGAGAGAGAGAGAGAGAGAGAGAGAGAGAGAGAGAGAGAGAGAGAGAGAACTTTCTGGAAATAAACACTTAAAGACACGATGCCCTCGCATTGTTGCTGAGTTCTGCCTTATCACACACAGACCCTCCTCAGTCTTCCTCCACAGCCGCTCAGAGATCTGCTCCAGCGGAAACTTTCCTCTATCAGCTGTAATGTTTTTGTGTCAGACTAAGCAGTGATTTAAAAACCTGCTGGGTGTTTCATTTTATTTTCTCCCTGAGGTCCTTCAAGGTTTTTGTGGTTTCATAGATAACTAATTTCTACATGATCATTTTTAACCTGTCTTTAACCCTCACAGTCAATTTTTACAAAATATTAGTTACTGATTTTAAGACTGCTGTAGGCTGAATGGGTGGAGCTAAACTGCTGTAGCTGAATGGGTGGAGCTAAACTGCTGTAGCTGAATGGGTGGAGCTAAACTGCTGTAGCTGAATGGTGGAGCTAAACTGCTGTAGCTGAATGGTGGAGCTAAACTGCTGTAGCTGAATGGGTGGAGCTAAACTGCTGTAGCTGAATGGGTGGAGCTAAACTGCTGTAGCTGAATGGTGGAGCTAAACTGCTGTAGACTGAATGGTGGAGCTAAACTGCTGTAGCTGAATGTGTGGGGCTAAACTGCTGTAGGCTGAGAGGGCGGGGCTAAACTGCTGTAGGCTGAGTGGGCGGGGCTAAACTGCTGTAGGCTGAGTGGGCGGGGCTAAACTGCTGTAGGCTGAAGTAAAGGAATGAAAACTAAGAAAGTTCTGAAGAGTAAAATGTAGAATGTGTTAAAGATTCTGCACTGTTTCTCGTTCACTATTCAAACTGAATGTAGTTGATCATGTTGATCTGTTTGTATTAAAAGCTCAGTTTTTAGTCTGATCTCTTCAGTGAAGCTCATATTCAGACTCTCAGCTGAATCTGATCTGCTGATCAGAGGATTTTGTCACTTTTAGTGATCTAGTCGTGCAGCTTGAGTGCACACTGTCATTAAAGGAGAAACACCACCAAATATTAGGAAATTCAAAAAATCATGTTAAGATTCGACTTTTCACTCAGACTGTAAAGCTGATAATATAATTTATAAAAAAAACTTCGTATTAAATTAGAAAAGATAGAAGCATTTTCACTCGTGCTCTCCGACGTTTGATCCCTATTGTATGTAAATGTGCTATATTTGTGACATCACAAAAATAATTCATTCAAAACAGGCTGTTTTTGCAGCTTAGTTTCCGTATATGGACTGTATGTGATTATTACCTGATTATGAACCCTAGAAAGTAAAGTTTCCACTTGACGGTGAGTCGCCTGCACGCGTTATTTAAATATTAGAGCATAAAGTCTGACACTTCTGAATGTTATTCATATCAACAGTCCTGTTAAAAATGTTTATCCTCCGTGAGACTCAAACATAAGCAGTCATAAGGCAGGCTCACCGGTTTGGAATGAGATGTTGAGGCGCTCTCCGTCCGTCCTGGAGATGATTTCTGCTCTGCAGAGCGTTCCTGGTGTTAAGCGCTCCAGTGTGCAGGTGAAGGTGTTGGTGTTGGTGTTTATGCAGTGTGCTGATCGGCCACTTCCCTCCAGAACGCTGAACACGCACGGCTCTCCGGGTCCAGAGAAACTCAACACGGCCCGATCCGTCCCGGCTACCACTTCACTTCGGTTCACCACACACCTCACCACCGTCGTGTCCAGCTAAGAGAGTCATCAGGCAGTGCAGGAAAATGAGCTTTAAAACAGCTTTTAAACACAGAAAACTGCCCTAACTGATCGATTACCTGAACCTACCTGTACAAATAACCGCAAACCACGTACTAAAGTAACAAATGTTCTACTGATGGTGGTGTTCTGTTATAAAATGGTTCCAGTTCTCACGCTTTCAGGGCCTTTACAAACAGCATATAGTATCATAAACACACAAATTCAATAACTGATTAAATGTTTTTTTTTTTAATTTCTCCAGTTGTCTCCCCAGTTTGGTTGAGTCCAAATTCCACCCACCAGCAATACCACCAGTGCGGGGGTGGGGAGGGGGGTGAAAGCGAACACAAGCTTCCTCTGAGTTATGTGACGCGCCACTGCATCTTTCTGAACCGCCGCTAATGCAACGCCATTCCTGGCCACGGACGGCTGACGGCTGTAGCGTCACCGGGGATCAAAGTCGCGATCTCCTGATGACAGAGCCAACACTATTATTATTAATAATAATAATAATAATCACAGTTCACAGTTATTCCACCAAGAAGTGTAGTTTGTTTAGGGTTGGCAAAGCAACCATGAACCACTGAACAAGGAGAAGAACCTTTGCTCACTATAACTGTATATTACAGTCATTTTATGAACGTTTTGTTATGGCTGAGTAACACGCTAACCTGCTGTAGCATTAGCAGGAACTGGGTTCTCCTCTGATTTAATGTAACCTGCACCAGTAAACACACACCTGCTGCTCTGTAAAGAGCCTTCAGCTGACCTGATAAATGAGACACTCAAATAACGTATACGTAAAGAAAGATGGTTCTTCAAGGGTTCTTTACCAAAGAAAATGGTTCTACATAGAGCCATGAACACTCAAACAACCTTTTGCATCTCTAAAGGGTTCTTTGCATCATGCAATGGTTCTTCAGATTGATGGAGAATGTGCTATAGATGGTATGTAGAATCTTTTAAACAAGGGTTCTGTATATCACCCAAGAGGGCTCTTCTACTGTTATGATGTCAAGCTGGTAACAATAGAAGAACCATTTTGAGAGCTATTTAGAACCTTTTTCAACAAGGTTTTATAGGACAGTATAAAACCACAAAATAACAGTATTTACAAAGCAATGAGAACAAAACACCTTTAAGGAAGAAGCAATGTCCCATATGGAAAATATATATTCCAAATGTGTTTATCAAATATATTTTTCCAATATACAAAATGGCCAAAAAATATGTTTGTTTAATATGTATTTAAATGCATTTATCAGTATTAGTTATTATCTGTGTTGAGTTGAGTGTAATGAAGTTTCCAGATGTAACTAAACGTTCTTCTGTGATCTGCACTGTACTTTACATTAACCATGTCCGTCTGCAGTCAGACTACTCACACACAATGTATTTCACATAAACAAGATATCAGATCATAACTGCATTTTCACAGAGTATCAATACCCACAACACTCGCTTCTGTCCTGATAAAGGATCATCTGATCAGATTTAAAATGAAGATGCTGGAACACTAATTAATTTCTAAAGGTATCAGACAGTGAAGAGCATCAGACAGGATTCTGGATGTTTTCATACATTTTCAGATGGATTTGATAAACATATTTACATACAGTTATTTCTGTATGGAACATTTCTAATGTGTAATATTTCCCCATACATTTTAAAATAAATGCATTTTAATATCCTGAAATACATTTTAGTGTTTGGGGTGTACTTCAAATATTTAAAAAATTCCATATGAGACATTCTACCATCAGTTAGCACCAGGTGCTTCTTTAATGTGCTCTGCCGTCATGTTGCTGTTTTCTGCCTTAATTTCATCGAGATCCCCTTTAAAGTTCGAGACACCAGTTTAAAATATTAAAAATGTTTGTATCATACTAATATTAAATGTTGTGAATGAAAAAACAAAATGTAAATATAATAATCACAGCTTGAAAATGCTAATCGTAATCTAAGAACTGTCTGGGCTGATATTCTAATGAGCACACTTGGTAGAGTGACCCTGCTGTATCCACAACTCACTAAAAATATTATCCAGCCTTTATGAGGTGACATCTTAAACAAGATAAAGATAATGCACTTTATTGCTGGATGTGCATCCGCAGAACATTATAGAGCCGCTGTTAGATAAACAAACAGACAAACGGATGAACGAACAGACGGATGAGCTCGTCTTATCACTCAGTTTGCTTGCTTGGTTAGCTTTCGCTTGGTGGTTAGCGTTCTTTCTGTAAGCTCCTCTGACTCAAACACAGAGAGACCGTATACATTTTAGTTAATGCTGTGTGGGCGGGGGCAAACCACATCAGCCTTGTGATTGGTGGGGGACTGCTTACATAAGCACTACCACAGATTAGGACCGACCCATTTACATCAAAACAAAACAATTTTAGCAAAACACATCAACCATTTATTGGGCACTGGACAGTTATTCACAGGACGTACGAATATTGAGAACATTATTATCTTATATGTTTCTGTAAATGCTGCCCTGAAACGCTGTGTGTGTTTAGTGTGAGTGAAACACTGTGACTCACCTGAGGCGTAGTGCTGGGGGCTGCAGTAGTGGGCGCTGTTGTGGAGGCAGTAGTTGTAGTTGGAGCAGTAGTCAGAATTACTGCAGTGGTTGGGGGGGAAGTTGTGGTTGGTTGTGCAGTTGTGGTTGTTTGTGCGGTTGTGGTTGTTTGTGTGGTTGTCGTGGTGGTTGTAGTTGGATTAGTGGTGGTAGTTGCAGAGGTGGTGGAGGTGAACACGGTGGTGGGGGCTGTAGTGGTGGGAGCTGTGGTGGGGGCTGTGGTGGTGGGAGCTGTAGTGGTGGGGGCTGTGGTGGTGGGGGCTGTAGTGGTGGGGGCTGTGGTGGTGGGGGTAGTGGTGGGGACGGTAGTGGTGGGGGCTGTGGTGGTGGGGTCCGGAGGTTGGGGGTGTGTGGTAGCGGGTGCGGTGGTTTCAGAGTGGTGTGTGGTGATTTTGGGGGTGGATCTAGCCGGGATTTGAGTTGTTTGAGTAATGTGAGTTGTGTTCACAGCTGGTTTGGTTACTGAGGCTCCTCGGCCTGTGAGCGGTGAAGCCGTGCCAGATGCCTTCACCCCTCCAGCCTCTGTTGAGGTTGTACGGTGCGTCTGAGCGTCGGGCACTGAGAGGGGCGGAGCTGAAGCTGTGGATGGAGCGCTGGAGGCGAGCGTGTCTGCAGTGGAGGAGTTTGTGACTGACAAGGTCTGAGGGTCAGTGGTCACAGGAAGTGATGCGGTCTGCGTGGCGCGGCTCACTCTGGGGTTATGGGTAATATCCGCCGTGTGTGAGGTTGCGCGGTGCGGGAAATCCTGGTGTGTTTGGTGGGCGTTTGTGGAGATCGTGTGTGTGACATTACTCATCTCATTCCTCGTCTCACGGGGGAGCTGCGTGACAAACTCGTCCACGACTGCTTCCTGTCTGTCTGTGGTCATGTGACCTGTGGTGAGAGGTTCAGCCTGGTTTGTGTGAGTTGACAGCTCCTTATTAATGGCTGTGGCTTCACTGGTGCCTACAGTGACCACAGTGCCCGTAATGCCAGCTGTGCCCGTAGTGCCTACATCACCTGTAGTGCAAGCTGTGCCCATAATGCCCGTAGTGTTCATGGTGCCTGTAGTGTCAGCAGTGCCTTTAGTGCCTGTAGTTCTAGGAGTGCCCACAGTGCCCATAGTGCTCATACTGCCTGTAGTGCCCACAGTGCCTGTAGTGCCCACAGTGCCCGTAGTGCCCACAGTGCCTGTAGTGCTCATACTGCCTGTAGTGCCCACAGTGCCCACAGTGCCTGTAGTGCCCACAGTGCCTGTAGTGCTCATACTGCCTGTAGTGCCCACAGTGCCTGTAGTGCCCACAGTGCCTGTAGTGCTCATACTGCCTGTAGTGCCCACAGTGCCCGTAGTGCTCATACTGCCTGTAGCGCCCACAGTGCCTGTAGTGCCCACAGTGCCCGTAGTGCCCACAGTGCCCGTAGTGCTCATACTGCCTGTAGTGCCCACAGTGCCCATACTGCTCATACTGCCTGTAGTGCCTGTAGTGCCAGCAGTGCCTGTAGTGCCAGTCCGTTTGGTTCTGGTTCTGACCGTGCGTCCAGTGTGGGTCACAGTCTGTCCAGTTGTAACAGGGATCCTCACTGTGGTCATCTGTTTGGTCGTTCTGTTTGTGGACGCTGTAGATGGACCTGTTTAAAGAATAAAGGTTTATCAGAACCACATTCATGTCCATCATTAACAATGACACTAACATTTACACTATTATTAATACTATTATTAACACTAACACTAGCATTTACGTTATTATTAACACTAATATTTGCGCTATTATTAACACTAACATTTACACTTTTATTAATATTAACATTTGCACTATTACTAACTGTATTATTAACACTAACCATTCATATGTTATTAAAATGTGTGTGTGTGTGTGTGAGTGTGAGTGTGTGTGAGTGTGAGTGTGTGAGTGTGTGTGTGTGAGTGTGTGTGTGTGAGTGTGTGTGTGTGTGTGTGTGTGTGAGTGTGTGAGTGTGTGTGAGTGTGAGTGTGTGAGTGTGTGTGTGTGTGTGTGTGTGTGAGTGTGTGAGTGTGTGTGTGTGAGAGTGTGTGAGTGTGTGAGTGTGTGTGTGTGTGTGTGTGAGTGTGTGTGTGTGTGTGTGTGTGTGTGTGTGTGTGTGAGTGTGTGTGAGTATGTGTGTGTGTGTGTGTGTGTGTGTGACAGCTGACCAGGCCTTGAACACTGAAGCTGACATTCGTGTGTAAGTGCTGCACTCAGTCTGTAACCCCCCCCAATCCAAATAATCCAAATAGGGTCAGTTATCATAAAACCAACAATGAAACTCTGATTATTTATATAACACAGGCTGCAGTGACACATAGAGATTACAGCCATGTAGATCTGCAGGGTTTAAAGCAGAATAACTGCACTGTGAAACCGGCCTCTTCAGGACGGGCAGGTTACCGTAGTAACACCTGTACGCCTGTGTGAGTGCTCTGTCCTCACCTGCAGCCTCACAGAGTGATGTCAGCGCCGTCCGGCCGTCCGAGCCCCTCATGTACCAACTCGAGTATCGCGGCTCGGGCTGGATCACAGCCCGCCGTCCCTGCTTCTTCAGGAACATGGGCCAGTGCGCCAGGCCGAACGTGCCGCGCTCATCGTAACATTTCCATGTGGGGGCGCTGCCGCAGTCTTTCAGCCGCACTAAGCGGGCGTGCTTGGGGAGGGCGCTGCTGGGGTTGGCCCACAGGCAGCCAGAGGACTGAGGGTGAACCAGCTTCAACTCGGCCGTCCAGCTCCAGTTCTGAGACGAGCTGGACGAGTCGCATTTCCGCAGCAGCACCGTGCCGTTCTGCACCGTCAGACAGACACCTTGTTTAGAGTGCACGATCAGGAAGCCCCCTACAGGCACAGGACAGGAGCGCACCCGTCACTTCACATTAACACTTCACCTTTTTTCTAAAATAATACAGATTTTTAAAGATTTTTACATTTCCTTACTGTGGCAATAAGCCATGACCAGCCATACGTTACAGTGATTTTTATCACCTCCTCACCCATGATAAAATCACTGTAATGCACAGCAGTATCTATGATAATAATAATCAGTTCCACTGAGAACCGTAGTTCTGTTATGGCACTGTTTCCAAGGACGTTCAGTCGCTTATCAGCATACGCTACAGGAACTTTTTCTGAAGGTGTATTTTATAGATAAGAAGCTTAATAAATAATTTAGGTAATGAACGATATATCCACCTTTTATTGGTTCATTCAGACTCTTCCCTTTTTACTAACCATTCCATTGGAAATATCACAATAAATTCATTATCAAGCAACTGTAAAGTGAGGAAAATGAGCGCGATAGAGGGTTAATTTGAGGAAGTTCAATTATTTAACTGAAAATCAGG